TGGGCTCAGCAGACCAAATCTAAGTCATTTTCCTTCAGACTGGCTTCCTTCTTTTTTTCTAACAGACTTTGTAATCTTTGGAGAGAGCTATCAAACATTTTCTAAGTCTTCTCTTTTCTAGTCTAACCATTCCCAGTTCTTCTGATTGCTCTCCATATGGGATGCTTTTATGTTCCCTTGCCATCTTGGTCACCCTCCTCTAGATAATTTTAAGTTTGTCAATATCCCATCTAAAATTTAGTGCCATAAATTGGACAAGATGCTGCATAGGTGGTCTAATGTAGGGAAGAGTACAGAAGGTTAACAATAGTGAACCATACTACCTCTCATAATTTTTAGTTTACCATGCAGATTAAGTTCAGATCAACCTTTATGGATGCCATATCATGTTGTTCACTCATCTTGAGCTTGTAATGCAATAATGCCCCCAGACCTTTTTTATAAGAACTTTTGTCTAGATATGTTTCTCCATAATTTATTTTAAAAAATGCATCCTTTTTTATTGATAACTTTTATCTTTATATATCCCAGTTTCTAAATATAGCTGTCTTCATTCCCCTATCTACAGAGCCATCATTCCTCATAACAAATATTTAAAAAGCAGTCCAGGAAAACTAACACAACACATCAAACATGTCTGTCAGTAGATGCAGTACTTCATAGCCATCATTCTTCACTTTTCTAATGAAAGGAGGCAGTGCATTTTCTCAGTTCTTCTGTGGGGTCAAGCTAGGTCATTAGAATTATGCAGCATTTTTTTTCGTTTTGCTCATTTTTTTTAAAAACTCCTTCCATGTAGTTATTGCACATATTGTTATCCTGGTTTTGCTTATTTCTCTTTGCATCAGATCATAAAAGTCTTTCCATGCTTCTCTGAATTTTTTTAATCTTTGTCATGTTTTATAGAATAATAATATTACATTGTAGTCATATACCACAATCTGTTTTGTAGTTTAGTCATTTCAGTCATGTCCAACTCTTCATGACCTCATTTGGGGTTTTCTTGGCAAATATATGGAAGTGGTTTTGCCATTTCCTGCTCCTGCTCATTTTACAGATGAGGAAATAAGCAAACAGGGTTAAGTGATTTGCCCTGAGTTACACAGCTAGTAAGGTCTAAGGCCAGATCTGAGCTTAGGTCCTGCTGACTCCAGGGCCTTAGCTCTATCCCTGTGTACCTAGCTTGTTGAAACTGAGAGTGAAGGAAATTTAGACTAGTAGCAGAGAGTAATTGAAAGAAATTCCACTGAAGGAGACAGGTTTCTGTTCAATATACAAAAGAATTTTCTAACAATTTGAGTCTTTCCTCCCCCAAATAGAGTGTGCTATTATATGTTATCTGCCGCTGTCAGTGGTCTTTTTTTTTTTAAGGCAATTGGGGTTAAGTGACTTGCCCAGGTTCACACAGCTAGTAAGTGTCAAGCATTTGGTATGAGGCTGGATTTGAACTCAGGTACTCCTGATTTCAAGGTCAGTGCTCTATCCACTACACCACTTAGCTGCCCCTGCTATCAGTGTTCAAGCTAACTCTGGATGACCATTAGGCAGGGGTGGTAGAAGAAATCCTTGCATTGGGGAGAGGTTGGAATAGATCATCTCTAAGGTTTCTAAGCTTTTATGATATATTTGGAATAATTTTGTGTATGGAGATATAAAATAATTTACTTTATTTAATTATTTGTTTTGATCATCTGACTAGATAAAATGCTTGATCCAACAAGGACTAAGGAAATTTAAACTTATCCAACACTTTCTTTAAACCTCTTTAAAAATCTTTTAGAAATTTGTTCTGTGCTTATTGAAAATATGCTGTCCTTTGAATACCAAAGTGTTTCTGTTGGCCCACCATACTTTATTAAAATAAGCAGCTTGAAATGGAGTTATAAATAGACTGTGTTACAATAGTTTTCCTGATCCAGTATTTTCAGCAGCTGACTAAATATGTGACCCTGACTGTCAGTGAAAATGTTGAACTAGATTTTTCCCTAAATAAAGAGGGCTTATGAGCTTATGCTTCAAGTGCCTATATCAAAGTCGGAGTTGCACACATTATCATTGACAATGTGCAAACGTTTTATACAGGAAAAAACCCTACATTTGTTTAAGAGGATTGATGAAGGATTTGCGCATAGAATTACCTGACATTTTTTTCCAAGGTCCCTTTTGGAATGTGCTTTCTGGGTGGCTGTAGAGATGAACACATCAATAAAAATCTCACCTAGCCCATGTTAACATGCTTATTTTATTTCTACCATCTGTACTGATCATATTCCCTGAGAGCTATTTTTCTGGGCTTGTTGACTGATATGGCCATAAATATATCCCCGAAGGCTAAAACTGTAGCTATTTCAGCACAGTTGGAACAAAAATAAATGTCCCACTGTTTTAGTATTACAAATTATAACCCCATTCACTGCGGGATGAAATTTGAGGTGGAGGGTGTAACTCAACTTCCATTCTTTTCCATGAAAGCAGAAGTAAGATTTAAAAACAGATGGTTAATCACACAACTGTGACTAGCTATTGGCTTCCTAGTTAATTCCTTGCTTTTTGAATCAAAGAGCCCATTATCACGCAATGAGCCACCACCTTTTTCAAGAGTAATTGACTACCCTTCTTACTTGATGTCAAAAATTCTATGAGTTAGTTTCAAACGGAGCTATACACCCTTGTCTTAGAGGGAACAAATAATACACTGGCTTTTTCTCATTACAATATAATTCATGCCAAATATAGTATATGCCCGTAATTTAGTATTGGTGGTTCTTATGTCAGGGAGTGAATGGCCAGAACTCTAAGAGGTGGGAAAGGAGAATAACCTTCCCTATATGAGTTTCATATGTTTCAGAGATGCACACGATGAATATACATAAATGGCAACATATAACTCTAAAGGAAGATAGTCAAAACTGAGCAGGAGTAAAGGATGTCATCAGGGAAATGTGTGATAGAAATAGAATGTAGGCTGCTCTCATGGTGAGGGTGAAGGATGACAGGTAGACAGCCAGAGTGTTACTCTGTTACCTACATGATGTCAAGAGAAAGGCAAAGTTATGGCAGGGCATGAACAAGAGAAGGAAAGAATAAGCAGGCATGGCTGCATCATGATCTACATCTCTGGAGGTTGCATCCAAATCAATGAGCCCAGAGATTCATGTGAGTATTTGAAAGAGAAAGTGAACGTTTGTAGTGTCATTCATTCACTACTAACTTAGTGCCTACTATGTGCAAGGTGGGACAGCTAGGTGGTGCAGTGGAGAAAGTGCTGGCCCTGGGAGTTAAGTTGAAATCTGATCTCAGACATTTACTTAGCTATGTAATCCTGGGCAAGTCACTTAACCCTGCTTGCCTCAGTTTCCTCATCTGTAAAATGATCTGGAGAAGGAAATGACAAATCACTCCAGTATTTTTTGCCAAGAAAACCCCAAATGGGGTCATGAAGAGTCAGACACAACTGAAAATGACTGAACAACAAAGAAATGTTCAAGGCACAGAATTTCTGATTATCCTTAAAAATTTTTTCTCTCTCAGAAGTTGAGATAGTCAATTAAACTAATTCTTAAACTCATTTGTATTTATCTTCATCTTTCCCTCTCCCCACCATTTTGACTGTTCTTGCCCTCTGATTGGCTACATTAGTGCTTATTAGAACTTAATTTTATGAAATGGATTCTCAAACACTTCTGGAATAATTTCCTCTACCCCAATTTTCCCCTTGCCATGGTTCTCTGTGCTCTAAATTATTCCTTTGGAAATACTTTACTTACCAGTTATTGCTCTTTTGGCATTCTAACAAAGTTTAAAGGTATTTAAGAAGGTAGTAAATTGGTACTCTCTAAAAGAAATTTGAAAAAGTGTATTAACATCATTCACATAGCCCCCAATTTGTTACTAATATCACCAAAAGCTGTCCTATGCTTTTTTTTCCAGCTAAACTAGGTCATAAGGTCCCTGAGGTCAAAAACCTTGTTTTGTTTATCTTTGAATCTTCCCAAGTATCTAACAGATATGTAACTACATAACAGATGCATAATAAGTTTGCTGAACGAATGGTTCCATGACCCCCTTAGAATTCTCTGATGAACTTGTAAGTGGGTTCTAATTTCAGGCTGAAGAAATAGTAAAGCTCAAGGAAGAACAGTTGAATAACCATTGTTGAAATTTTGATCCAACAGATTTTCTTTATGGTAGCTTATGTAAAGAGTATCAAGGAGGAAAAAAAGTTGGAATTCATGGCTATAGAGACATTTCAGATATATGTGTTTATCATTCACCATTTCCTCCTTGTTCAGAATTTGCTAAATTAAAATTCCCTGCCTTGTCTAAACTTGAATTTGTCCTTATTTCATTGCTTTATGAATGCAGTTACAACTTGATTGTATATAGTGTAAAGCTGCAACTAGCAGGGGCTAAATAGAACTTTGCCTTGGGGTGCTGATTACCAAGTAGACTGGATTCCTCCCCATGGTTACCACCATCATTGAACTCTGCCTTGTGACCTTCCAGAAGTGTCGAAAACAATTGTACATAATTATTATCCCCATAGCACTCCTTTCCCAGGGCTGACCTTTCTTCTCAGTCCCTAAGGGAGCTGGGACTAGGACTCCAAAGGAAGGAAGGACAGATTGATCTGGATCAACTGACTGTACTAGGACTTCTAAGCCACCGCTGTGCCACCTCCACAGCCAACTGAATTTGTCCATTGTAGTTTGGGCTCTGATAGAATACAAATACTTGAACTTTACTTATGAAGCATATTATAGTACTAAAAAAAAACTAGAATAGGAATTGTAACACCTGTCAAAAATTAATTAGCTGAGTAAAATGGAGCAAGCTTCTGTGCTTCATTTCTTAGTTATCCAATGGGCCAGCAGACTATAAACTCCCTGAGGACAGGGACTAAGCCATTTTCCACCTTTGTATTACTAATACCTTGCACATCATAGACACATATTAAATGTTTATTGAACTTAATAGGGATAATAATACTTCCCTTACAGAATTCATCAAGTTGTTACAAGAATCAAACCAGAAGTTGTGTTAAGTCCTTGGAAAAGTATAGAGTATGAAGGTATGTATTTCTTCAGTTGTCTCTGTGTCTATCTCTTTAGTGTATCTTAACATCTATGACACCAGGACAAAGGTTTTTAGAGGGATTATGACATTTGGGGATATCCAGATACCAACTGGAAATTTTCACCCTGCCCCCACAACCCCCATCCTCTGCTAGTTGCTTACATTTTTATTGGTCTGATGACTATTTCTAAGGCCACATTAGAACAAAATTCCTACATCAGACCCTAAATCAAAGCCGTATATGACTGACTTATTCTGCATAGTACTGCATGTACACAGGTATTTGATGGTGATAATAAGAGAACATAGTTTGAGGGAGAAAAAGTTACAGAACAGCTTTTAACAAGTTGACTCAAGTCTCCTTCATTCCCTGTTTGTGAATAATTGACAGTGGGTAATAATTGTAGGAGAAAAAAATGCCCCTTTTCCTTCTCTCTTGCTTGTTAATAATGTAGACACTACAATACAGAAACCCAGAGAACCCTTGATCTACAGTTTCCAGTATAGAACAATGCTGTTGTTTTTTAAAGTATGCTCTACAGAATGCATTTCTGAAATACTATTTCAACACATGTAGTACATCAGTTGATAACAGAGCCAGTAGAATTCCCAGAGACAACTAGTAGCGATTTCAAATAAATTTCGGCAGAGCCTTGAGTGATAAGAGAGGGATTAATTTCTCAGCAGGAGTAGTTGTTTTTGGTATAGAATCCAAGACTAACAGTGAGTTTGCAAATCTTGTGAAGTTCTGACCCTAGGAGATAGGGAGTTGAAAAGATAAACATGTGTAGAGAAATCCTATTCCTATCCTCCCTTTCTATTTCACTTGGAACTCTTCTGATTCCTCATAAAATGCTTTAATTGGTAACTGTCTGAAATTTGATTTTGAGATTAGTTGAGCTCACTTGGACTGTGGAAAAACATGGCCTGATCAGACCTGCGCTGATTGGCAATTTCTCAATTTCCTGAATAACTAATGAGCTCCAGGATGGCTAGTCCTGACTGAAAGGACACCTGACTTCTTGCCATACCTCATTTTCATTTGTTGCTTCTGCTATTTACTTGTCAGACATTCATGCTCTTAGCACATCCTCAGGGGATCACCCAAGACTTTAACACCAAATGAAACTAATGCTAGTGCTGAAGCATTTGGAAAGGGTTTGTTGTTGCTGTTGTTGTTTGTTTTTGTTTTTTAACAGTTTCCATCAGTGCTGGCTCCTTTCTTCTTTGGCATGGTAGCTGAATAAAACTCAGTGTGCAGCTCAATTTTTGAAAGAGACTAGATTGAAATAAACCACTAATAATGATTTTGGTTCTATTGTCATAAGATACTGGTTATTGGGATGATGTTAATTAGTGAAATTGATCCTAAATGAGCTTTAGCATGCAGACCAATTTAGGGAATTTTCTACTTAACACCTACTTTTTCCCAGTCTCAGAACTAGTAGAGAGCTAATGGTCCTTTGCAGGCATGGTAGCCTGTGGGAAAACTTGGCACTTCCTAGTAGAGGGCTAGCTGTATAACTAAGTATTCGAGGACCTGGAGCAAATTAAATTGAGCTGAAGGGGCAGCAGCAGGTGGCATTGAGATTTGTTTGTTCTGAGAGAGAAAGAAGCCTCCTCTCCCGCTAACTCTGCTGACCTACAGTGCCATTCCATTTCCTGGACCCCACCTGCCAACTCACACCACCCCTTTCAAGTACATTTTCATGGGGTGTGATTTGGTGGAAAATTAAAATGCAGGGATAGTTTTCTCTGTGCTGCTTTGAGGAGGAGATATAACACCCTCTCCAAATTTGTTTTTAACATCTGGGATAAAACTTCAGCAGAACAATTCCAGGGGTGCAGAAAAAGGAGCAGCAGGCTATAAGAACTCCTGAAAATTTTTACTAGTGAAGAAACTGGGCAGGAATTTGCTTAGTCTGCCTTGAGGAAGTTATTCTACTTTATCCAACATCATCTATTACTGCCTGACATCTATTACCCTATTCTCATCACATCTATTGAGAGGTAGTCTATGTTCCACCCCTACAACTAATAATAATTGTTGATATTTATATAGCACTTTCATTTGCTTCTTACAGCAACTCTATTATTAAGGTATTATTATCCTGGGGAAAATACTTGAGGTATTATTATCCTGGAGAAAATCTTCCAGGTATTATTATTATGCAATAATAATAATTTTAATGGATGAGGAAACTGAGGCTCTGTGGTCACATTACTAGCAAATGTCAGAGACAAGATTACAATTTGTCTCTTCTAACTTTACAAGACTCTTTGCATTACCCCACTCTGATCACAGCTCTGTGGGATGGAAAGCTGCAACCATTTCCACAAGGTTATGCCTCCACCCTCCCTATAGTACCTAGTCTCATTTGTATGAACTGATGAAGAGGGATAAGAGCAGCAACAGAACAATCCGTATAATGACAACAACACTGTAAATGTTGAAACATTCACAATGAAACTTTGAAAGACTTAAGAACTCTGATCAACAGTAATGTCCAACAATAATTCTGGAGGACCTATGATGAAACGTCATGCCTATTTCCTGACAGAGAGATGATGGACTCAGGAGGTAATTGAGATATCTATATCTATGTGTGTATATACATATATGTGTGTATATACATATGTGTATACATAGTAATAAACTAGCTTACAAATAAAATTTATCAGGCTTTCTAAAAATTACAAAAAAGATCTTTACTTAAACATGTACACACAAAATTGGTTTTTTTTACTTAAACATTCCTTCTTAAAGGTATTTCTCTTTCTTTTTTTTGTTTATTTTTAATTGTTTTTTAGGCAGTTGGGGTTAAGTGACTTGCCCAGCGTCACACAGCTAATAAGTGTCAAGTGTTTGGTCTGAGGGTGGATTTGAACTCAGGTCTTCCTGACTTCAGGTGCAGTGCTCTATCCATTGCACCACCTAGCTGCCAAAGTACTTCTCTTTCTTAAAAACAGCTTAAAATTTATCCTAATGTTAAAAAGATAATCACTAAACTTTTATGGAGTAAATTGGTTGGAAACCTCTAAACTGACATATCTTTCTCTTATTCAACCTTAAAGCAAAAAAAAATCTTAAAAATTGGAAATTATGAAAACTAAGTTGGTGTAAAATGTCTTTTAAGTCTCTATAGCTACATAGCTGTACATCTATGTCTATATCTATATTGGTGGTAGGGGTGGGGTGTGTGTGTGGCATGGCTAATGCAGGAATTAGTTTTGCTTGACAAAAACAAGACAAAAAACTTGACTCTGCTTGACTAGTCCTGAGACACAGCTCAGTGGTGGAGTGGACACAGCCCTGGACCTAGCATTAAGAAAACTTGAATTATAATACCACCTCAGAAACTTACTAGCTATGTTATCCTGGACAAGTCACCTAACCTCTGTTTGCCTCAGCACTATAAAAATGGGGATAACAATAGCACCTCCCTACCAGAGCTCTTATGAGCATAAGATGAGATAATATTTACAAAATATTTTGCAAACCTTAAGATGCTATATAAATACTAGCCATGCATATTTGTTATAAAGATTTTTTTTCTTTTTCAGTGGAGAAGAGAGAGAGAAAATATTTTTTTGTTGTTTAAAATAAACTAAACAACAATGAAGATGACAAAAATAAAAGTGATTTGTCTCAAAACTCTGCAATAGCTAGTGGTTGAGTTGCAGGAAGCAGGAATGGGACTCGTGATGTGGCTTAGTGTGGGCTTGGAAAATGCAGGCTGTAAGTCTTAGGGAGATCTAAGTAGAAAGATATGAGGCAATTAGAGTACAGATGTATAGAGAATCAAAGTGAAGATGTTCTTGCCTGCAGAGGTGTGGAGAAAAGAAGACCAGAAACTTAATGGTGCCTGGAAGATGATAGATAACATGGTGATCATCCAAAGAATCTGCATTGAGAGTCTCTGGTTATGATAGAATGCTGTGTTCATTGACTCATGAAAATGTAAGTGATTCTGAACGTCATCCTCTCTCTCTCTTTTTTTTAGGGGGGGGGCTAGGCAAATGGGGTTAAGTGGCTTGCCTAGGGTCACATAGCTAGTAGGTATCAAGTGTATGAGGCCAGATTTGAACTCAGGTCCTCCTGACTTCAAGGCCAGAGCCCTATCCACTGCACCACCTAGTTGCCTCAAAAGCCATTCTCAAAAGTAAGTTTCCAGGGGCAGCTAGGTGGCGCAGTGAATAGAGCTCTGGTCTTGGAGTCAGAAGGACCTGAGTTCAAATCCAGCCTCAGACACTTAACACTTACTAGCTGTGTGACCTTGGGCAAGTCACTTAACCCTGATTGCCTCACCAAAAAGCAACAAAACAAAACAAAAAAAGTAAGTTTCCATTTCATCAGGATTTAGGTTAGTGAATAGGGAAGAATAGCTATGCCTAGACCTTTGACCGGAGTGGTAGTGCTCTGTTGGGAAAGGATGATTAAGTTTAAAGCTTCAGGAAGGATTCATATGGATCAGGGAGGGAGGATTGGATTCAGCTCAAGCTGAATCAGCTTTTGAGCTCATGCTTAAGTATGTTTGGCTGATGCAAAAAGATGAAAAATTAACTGCCACCTTTTTTTGTTCTTATGAACCACCCCTGATATTGTCAACTCATTCTTGGGAAGGCAGATCACAGAATCAGAAAGCTGATATTTTTATTCCATTGAATAGACAATATAAGAAATGCTTATGCCAGAGTTGAACCTATAACAAAGATGATTCACATACTACCCCACATAACCCAGGGAAAATGACTTCTCCCCTTCAAGCTTTCTTAGCCCTCTTACCCTTCCCAGTGGGCGGGGCTCCCCACTCCAGCTTCTAGGTAAGCTATTTGTCCTGGGTATCCACACCACAGATGTGTTCAGAATCAGTTTGGGATGGGCGTTGGAGGATGGTGGGGAATCAATGGCAAAGGCAACTTCGTGGCTGGCAACAAGGTACACTGGCTGATCCTTTTCCCTCATGCCCTACCCTCTGGAAAATCAGCTCTAGC